GCAAAAGTAGTTTTACAGTTGTGAGTACATGAAACACAGTTTATTCATGTATTATTATCTACTAGAGGCCCAATGCATGAATTCATGCACAAGTGGAGTCCCTTGACCTGGCTAGCGATCTAGGCCTATCAGGGGCCCGGACAGTCGGAGGGAGGGACCCCGGGAGGTTGGCTGGCTGAGGTGTGAGGGGGGAAGGCTGCAGGAGGTTGGCCAGCCGGGGGGAGGGGCTGCGGGAGGTTTGCCGACTGGCCCCCACAATTGGGGCCAATCGGGGGAGGGGCCACCAGAGGTTGGCTGTGGGAGTACACTGACCACCAGGGGGCAGCTCCTATGTTGAACGTCTGCCCCCTAGTGTTTAGTGTGCATCATAGTGACTGGTTGACCAGTCATTCTGGTCGTTCACTCGTAAAGGTTGCTTAGGCTTTTATATATATAGACTAGTTATTGTGTTACTTTCCATATGAATAACTGAGCCTACTTTTGCTCCACCCTGTATTTTGACTGATCTTAGAAATTCAAAGAAGCTTGCAGATTTTATGGATATTTTATAGATAAAAGGTCTGAAAATGAATAGTGTTTTTAATATACAGAGGAGATATTTAGACTTGGAGTTATTCTTTTATTCAAAAATTACTTCTTGAGTACCTACAGTGTGCTATGAGGATACAGTAGTGAACATGACACATAACATTCTTTTATTTTTGTCTTTGCTCATCCTGTTCTTGTACCTGGGTTTTCTCCATAGCACTAATTTCATTTTGTATTCTTTCTATATATCTTATTTGTTTTATGTTTAGGGTTTGTCTATATGGATTAGAATATGAATTCTATGAAGGCAGGAAGATTTGTCTGATTATTGTTGTATCTTCAGCTTGTCATATAGTACTTAGCATTTAGTAGGGACTCAGTAGATTTTTGTCAAATATATGAATGAATTGAATAAAATGAAGACCAGGAGAGTATAGTATCCTGAAAATCAAGTGAAATATTTTTAGAACAGAATGGTCATCTGTATCAAATGTTGCTGAAGAGTCAGACAACATAAAAACATGAAAATTAGATTTACCCAGTAGAACTGTGATGAATGGTTTCACTGATGTGGTAGGGCAAAAGCCATATTGGAGTAGATTCTAGAAAAAAGGAATGGGTTGTGAGGTAGTAGGAAAAAAAACATGATATTATGAGAGATAAGAACATTGATCTGTAGTTGGTGGGAGGAGTGTGAGGTCAAGGAGGGCTTTAAAATGTTTTTCTTTTATTATGAAAATTTTAAAAATACATAAGAGAATAAATAGTACAATGAACCCTTTACATACTCCATATATAGCAACAGTATCAAGATTTGGGCTTATCTATTTCATTTTCTGATTTTTTTGTTGTTACAGAAATATTTTGAAGCAAATCCCAATCATTTAACCTGTATATACTTCAATTTGCATCTTTAGAAAACAAAGAAAGCCCTAGCCGGTTTGGCTCAGTGGAAATAGCATTCGCCTGCAGACTGAAGGGTCCCAGGTTCGATTTTAGTCAAGGGGACATGCCCTGGTTGTGGGCTCAATCCCCAGTGTGGGGCATGCAGGAAGCAGCCCATCAATGATTCTCTCTCATCAATGATTCTCTCTCATCAATGAATCTCTCTCATCAATGATATTTCTATCTCTCTCCCTCTCCCTTCCTCTCTGAAATCAATAAAAATATATTTTAAAAAAGAAAACGAAAAGAAAAATGGTGCTTATTAAAATTAACAGTAATTCTTTGATACTATCTAATATGTAGTTCTAATCAGGTTGCCACAATTATGTTTGCTTCCTCATGGTGACATTAAATATACTGTTTTCAGTATTATTTTTAAACTGTAATACAGTATAAAAATTTGGTTAGATTTAAGTTCAGCTACTTGGGGACACAGTTTTTAATAGGTGGCCTGTGCTTCATATTATATCACATCAAGAGGCCTATGTTTGGTTTTCATACTCTAGTTATGCTAATATTGATCAGTGAAGTCAGATGGTGACTGTCTAATTTTTCTATTGAGAATTTCCCATTAACCTTTCATGTTATCATTTTTATGATCTTTGTCTAAATCAGTTATTTTATTTGGTTGGCCAAAGGGTAATGATCTAATTCTGTCTTAAGGAGAAGGAGTCTTTAAACATTGAAGAAATTATTACATATTTTTCTGCTGATGAGAATGATCTAATAGAAAAGAAAAATTATGACATAAGAAAGACTCTAATACCTAAAGAAACAGAGGGCTGGGTAGATAAGAATGAATAGGCTCCCCTGCACAGATGAGTAGGACCGGAACAGTTTAAGAATCTTGTCCCAGGCTACAGTAGCACAAAGTGAATATATTTTATTAAATTTCTATCTAAATTTTGCTATGGAATTGGTTTGATAATTGTGCCTAATTTTAGAAATATCTATTTTCATTTGAAATGAATGATGATATTTCATATGAAATCAAAACTTAAAGCCATTTCAAACTTCATTGCCTAGTCTACCTTAAAACTGCAATTTTAAATTAATGGCGTCTTATACACCTATATCTTTACATTATAAAAAATGTGGGCAATACTTTTATGTAACTATTTTTCAGCTTTTGTTAGCTAGTCTATTGCAAAGAGAAGCAAATGCTACTGTTAAATAAAATGATAAATAACTGGCAGTTTAGTTTAGACACTAATGGATCCTAAAAGCCTTTAAAATGACAAAAAAACAGCAACTTTTATGATTTATAGGCTCATTTTTGTTACACAGTTTGGTCATATACCTGACAGTCTTCCCTCTTTGTGACTTTTTCCTAAAAATTATAGTTTTGTGTTATCTGAGTGAAAAGGCCATTAGAGTTCAGGTGAAGAATATGACAGCATCTCTTCTGAGGATTGTAGCAATTCCCATTGGAGATGTACAATCTCCTTTTTTCCACTTTTTGACATAGTTCTAATAGTAGTGATATAATTTAATACTCAAAGAATATGTACTGCAACTTTGAACCTATAAACTCTTCAAATTGTCTCATATGTGCTATGTGAACTTTAAGCAATCATACGTCTTTATGACTGTGATTTCCATGTATTATCTGTTAGCTATATGATTAGAAGCGTATTGCGGTTACTATTGTCTAATATGTTGTGCATTCTGTTAAATTAGAATTTTAAAGCAATGTGGATTGTATAATCTCTTTAGTTATGTAGTGCCATTTTTTATTTTTTGGAATGTAATCTGAGCTGTAGGTTGTTTTGTTTGCCAACTTAGATGAATGAAACACATTGCATGAGTTTCATTGATCAGTTCTCATCCTTTCTAGACATTTATTGAACAATTAATACAACTTTGTAAAGACTCCCTAGAGTATTTCTATAAACTAGATCATTTTACCCAAGAGCCACAGAGATACATCAAGATAAAAAAGGATGAAAAAAGCTTTCAAACTCACATTATGGAAAGATTCTCTCTGTCCTTACCAGTGAAAGATATACTTGCTCTCCATTGAAATATTTTGTCCCACTTGGGAAGCTTAACTTTTCATAGATATGAATCATCATTGTTTAAAGCATGAAAATTTAATTGAGGGGTATTCATATCATAATACTTTTATTTCTGCCCCAAATTTTGTGATCTAAGTTTTTTTCCTAAATGTAAAGCTGATAATTTTTTAATATTCTTTTAAAACTTAAAACTAGTAGAAAATGGTTTATGTGGCTATTGGTCCTTAAAACAATATAAACTTCCTATGATTTCATCAATATGTGTGATTTCACAACTTTGTCATTCACAGTGTACTTTAAAAAGACTTTATAGAGTGGCTTAGAATTTTGAAATTAGCACCAAAAGGAAATGTAGTAGATAGGTATTGGAAGTTTTTATATTAGTTAAAAAACAAATATTTTACATGTCTTAAAATATTGTTCTTTTATTTTTTTGATATCTATTTAATAAAGAAATATTTATTTTTGACAAGTTAAAGATTACAGTTTAAGACCAGTCTGCTGCAGTGAAGCTAAGATTAGTCTAAAAAACTAATCACTGATTTTTTATTGCCTTAAGGTTTATCTGTAAAGTATAAATGGATTATAGGACTTGTTAGACCCAACCAATTTTGTTTTAGTAATATCTCACATCATATGTCTAAATTTATTTACTAGATGTAAAGTAAATACTATTAATTATCTTTGTCAATTATTCATTAATTTCAAATTTCATAAACTTATTAAATTGTGTTTTAACTGATATTACATAATCAATAAAATCAGTGTGGTTTATTTATCCAATGAATATTTATTGTACACCTAGTATTGTGGAAACTACAGCACCAAACAAAACAGGCTAATTCACTGTTGTCTAGGAGCTTGCATACTAGTGGTAAAGTAAAAGGTAAATATATGAAATGTCAGGGGGTGGTGTTGCTATCTACGATTAAAAGGAGAGCAGGGTAAGTGAATAGGGGCAATAGAAATTCTGAAATGTACCTTCTATTTAAGCTTTCCAAGATTCTCTCTACCCACTGATTTAAATGTTCTTTTTACTCTAGACCAGCCGTTTGTATCATCCATATAGGTATTTCCGTTGTTTTTCATATCATACTGTCCTGTAATTTCTGGCTTAATGTTTGTTTTTTACCCTTAAGGGTATGCTTTTTGCAAGTTGTGTCCGTAAATCTTCTTTTGTGTGTCACCAGTTTGTAACGCTAACTCCTGTTATAAGTGCTCGTATTTGTTACGACAATAAATGAATGATACTCTCAGAACTGAGGATATCTGACTTTGCTGAAATCCAAGGACCCTTTCTGAGATAATTAGGAAAGAATGAGTAAAAAATTGAAAAAAAAAAGAACATGGGTTTATATATTCTGTTTGGTTCAATTGTAGCATTACTAATTAATTTAGAGTTTTACATTTTGCATTATTTTATTGGCATTACTATATTATCCTTTTTATAGCTTTTTTGAAAAAATACAAAATAAGAAAGTTTTCTGAATATTGATCTTTTGTTCACAGGTACTACTGAACGAGTGTGTTTGATCCAGGGAACAGTTGAAGCACTGAATGCAGTTCATGGATTCATTGCAGAAAAAATTCGAGAAATGCCTCAGAATGTTGCCAAGACAGAACCAGTTAGCATCCTCCAGCCCCAGACCACCGTTAACCCAGATCGCATCAAACAAGTGAGTGTTTAGTTGGGAAATCAAAGAGAACTACTCATAGCATAGTGTGAATTCCTTATAAAATAAGCCTTGTAGTCTTATTATATATATATACAGTTTTTCTAAACATACTTCAAATAACAGTTGTCATTTATTTATTTAAAAACAATTGTTCTCTTTCTTACCTTGATTAGTTGATCTATTGATTGAATTATTCATTTCAACACTGAGAAGCAATTATGTGATACATTTCTGTTGTGATTTACAGACATAAATTTGATAATTTATGGGAATTTAATCTAGTTTAAATTATATTACTTTTAAATAAAGTATAAAAATTTAAATGAAACTATATCCTCAAAACTTAAATACCATTTTGGTATTAGTCTTCAGTATAGTTATTATATTATGCATATATATTCCTGTTTTGTTAATTTGTCATGTTCAACATTTTTTATCAACAAATATGTATAAGTATACCTTTGTGCCTAGCAAATAGTTACTTGTTACAACTCAGCTATTACATTCTGTATAACTTGTGTAATATATGTATATATTGAGAGAGAGTCATAAGGGGCCAATGTGAGTTTTTAATGTATGGGATTCTCTGTAACAAAATTTTTACTTGATAAAAGACAATGTAAGTTTTTAAGAGTGTGTAATGGCTGACATGATATAGGAGAAAAATAACATTTTTAATACTAAATAAGGTTGATTCTTCCCCGTAAACTTTTTTAAATTCAAAATTATTGGATACTTTATAATTATTGCTTCTGCATTTGCCCTTTTATATTAACTACTTAATTTTTTATCATACTATTAATAGAATATACCCTCAAAGGAATGTATTTTTTATTACTTTACAAGATATTTGATTTACAGAATATTTATGTTCACTGTAATAAATTTGAAATGTAGCTCAAAATCTTATTAATTTCATGTTTCTGAATTGAAAAACAGTGTTATGAACCTATTAAATTTTTATCAATATATAAGTAAATATAAGGCTGACTAATCACATTCAAATGTAGAAAATATCAGTTAGACTTATTTTCAAATTATAGGAAAATGTTTCGTTTTCTCTTACTATGTTACAAAATACTTCCAGGCTTAAATTACGAATAGGTAGTTGTTGTTCCATTCAAGATGATTCATTTGTTTACTCTCTGTTAATGCCATAATGGTTAGGTTTTGTTTGTATACCCTTCATATTTTTTCAGGAAGTAACTTTTAATCTGTATATGGCAGAATTTAAATATTTTAAAGCTTCAAATATCAGATGATTATTTTATTCTTACAGCCATTTATAGTTTTAGAATTTTTATTTTATCTGTGCTAGGTAAATACAAAGAATATCTGTAATGTTTTGAAAGTGATACATTACTCTATCTAGGTTTTAAACTACGATGTTAGTTAAAGACCTCTGGATTAAATGCACCTGGGACTAAGAATTTTCAGAAGCACTAAAGCGTAGGGTCTGTTGACTTTCTACCTTAATCCAGCCTAGCCTTTCTTTTCTTTTGTAAATTATGTGAGAAGTTCAAACATTTATGGGTGTGATGAACATCTTGATTTTTTAAAAAGTAAAACATACAATACAGTTGGAGTAGAACGACATCGCTGGCAGTATATTCAAGACAATATGAATGGATTTTTATTATTTTAATATTAATAAGTAGCTAGAACAATCAAATAATTGTCTCAGAATCATTATTAAAATTCCAATTTTCTCTATGCCCATATGGCTTTTATTGGCTACCATATATTCAGTGCCTGTATAGATTTATGAAAACCAAAATTTAAAAATGTTTGGTTTATTTTTATTTGCCTTTTTCTCATAATATTATTTAAATTCAAGATCAGTATTAAAAGTAGAGATTGGTTTACTTTTGTGTATTTGCATTCACTATAAGCCTTGTAGATATTCATGGAATTAATATTATTGTCAATTATTTAATATTTTTATATAATTAATAATATATTTAATACAGTATCATTTAAAAAGGTTTCTCAATAGAGTACACTAAATCTAGTAGGGCAATATATTTCACACTTAAACACTTTTTTTGTAAGTGTAAAAATAAAATAATATACTTGAAAAATCAGGAAGAGAGATCTCACATATTTTTAGATATCATTGATGACAGTTTTTTTATGCTCTAAGTTTAGGATTCTCGTAACTCTCTAGGTATCCTATTTAACCAATATCAGATTTTCTATTGGATCAGTCTCTAAATAGAATTCCAAGTATATAAATTTAAATGACCATGATTTTATTTCAGAAGACATTATGCTGGTTATCCGGTATAGAATAATTATGTCCAATAAAAATTATTTTCCACTAGAATAAATAAAAACATATTTCATATGATATATATATGACTTTAATACATAGAATCATAATAAAATTTCCTTTAAAATGGCAGTTTTTCCTTAACTAGTGATATACGATTTACATTTACTTTGGGCTTTCGTCCTCAAATTAATTTTAAAAATAATGTCTTTGAAGGATCGTTTTAGAATTTTCTTCTAGTTAAGATTGTGCAAAGAGTAAAATTAAAGTTTTTAAAATACTGGAGCTAGGAAATGTAACTTTTGGATAGACATGTATTTAATATTGAATATGAAATTATATATTTTTAAAAATGTTTGTTATTATGTGTCCATTGTTTTTGCTTGCTAAAAATAGTTTATATGTAACATATAAAAAATAATTTATATATAATAGGAAGTCAGAGTTAATTTTAAACAATTAAAACTTGCCTTAAATGTTATAATTTTACACCATTTGTTACGGGCTTTTAATAAAATGGTATATTTTGAATTATGCAATCTAGATACAGTTGGTAACCAAAAAAATTTCATCGATTATCATATTCTGTCTAAATAAAACCTACCCTTATTAACTGAATCAATTTTCAAACCAGAATAGTTGTTTTAGCGAAGTAGTATATAATGTTCTTATCACTCTTTTGTAGAGTGGAATGATTAAATCTAGCATGACAGCCTTACATCCAACTTCAGATATTAGATACTGTGAAATATTCAATTCTTAATTCTCAAATGTTTCTGTTTTCTATTTAAAACATATTTGTTTGCTAATACAGAGACAATTATAATATTTATTAAATAATCAAAATATTATATCCTGTTTTTTTAATCTTAATACCAGGAAACTGTCATGAGGTACATAATACCATTGTGCTTATTCTACAAGACAGTATACTAAGAAACAGATATGCAACAAGAGTTAATAAGTCAAAATTAAACATTAATTAGCATGAAACATATTATTTCTTATTTTTAAGACACCTAATTAACTGAGACGTTTGAAATTTTCAAATAATTTAGACTTTGCTTGCCTAGAAGCTCTGAACTCATTTCGGAGCACTTCCTAGCCCAGATTATTTTGTATATATTTTTCCAATTTCTACCTTTTTATGTTTTGAGCTTTATATTTTTATTTTCCCCTCATAGGAATATTGAAACTTTTCTTCTTGTTGTAAGTGCCTCAAATCCCCCTCTAAATATATTTGTTTATATGTAATGGGTCAATATAATGAACCCTCCCCCAGAATGTTAGAAACCATAATAAGTATTATAGATAGCATTTGTTAATTTCCTTTATCTATTATAGATTTCCAGGAATTTCTTTCCCTTTGGCTCAAATATATTTTTAAGGAAAGGTACATTAAGTAAGAAGTGGTTACAGGCATATAAACAATTCTCTTATATTTAAAAAAAATTCAAATTAAGATGTCAATAGTCTCATTTAGCCTAAATAATTTTATTTTCATCATGAAAAATTGATAAAAATTGCACATAACTTGTTTTTGAGAGATCAAAAATGCTTAAAGTATTTTATAAAAATATAAAACTTTATTTATATACCAAAACTACAATATAAACAATGTACTATAAAATTTTAGAGGATTGTGAAGGAATATGGGCTAGTGACATTTGATATTGTAAAACAAGTGAAGACTTGAATTGAACCTTGAAGATTGTATAGGAATTGCCTAATTATAGAAAAAAGAAAAAAATTATTTTAGGCATGTGAAACAGTATGGATTTAAGGAGAAAGGTACCATAATTATTGAATAGTATGGAAATTATCTTGACAGAGGTGGAACATCAGTGTTGGAGTTTAGAGAAAATAATGTTAGGTAGGTAAGATGGGACCGGATAATGGAGAGCCTTGGATGTCAGGCTGAGGCACATTCTATAGGCTATGGACTCTTGCTAATATTTCCTAGCAAGCCATTTTAATTTCTCTGGAAGGTTATGAAAAAAGGGAGGTACCTCAGCATTTTGTTTGCTTCTGTGCTAAAAATCCAGGCAGAATCTTGGGATGCTTGTAGATACAGTTTATGAGAGAAAAAGAGAATTATGACAATTAAGTGTTCTACAACATAGATCTATAGTTTTGAAGGTCTGTAAGAAAATATTTTCTAAAACTTTTTTAATGTAACATTCACAAATCCAAGGGATGTCAGGCAAAAAAAAAGAAAGAAAGAAAGGTTTTGTGGTCAAGAATGAAGGGTCAGTAATAATAGAAATAGTTCTATATGTATGGTGCTTATTCTTTTTCTGAGCCCACCATTGTGCTGCACACTTTACACGTATTATCACATGTCGCCCATCCTCACACAGATCCTATGAGAGAGGTACAGAGTCCATGCTCTACTTAAGGAAACTGGTGCTTAGAGGAATTGAGTGACTTATCCAAGGACATATAACTGGTTATCTTACCACTGGGCTTCATGGCCGCCAAGTTTGAGTAATGCTGGTGAACAAAATCCAATAGATTTCTCTCTCATTGGGACTTTTCAAAGTCTTGAATAAACTCTAAGAAGAGAACCTCATTTAAAATATAATGTATCAGGGTGAAGTTAAGAGACTAAGCAATATTTTAAGAACAAAATGAATATGATCTCACTTTTGGTTGTGAAAGTTGAGACAAACAGATGAGGTTAAAAGATATGTCTAAGTCAATTTTGTAAGGCTTCAAGACTGATTTG